AGCTGATTTCCCAACAGAAACTTTGCAGGCCAGAAGGGAGTGGCAAGAAATATTCAAAGTGATGAAAAACATGGAACTATAACCAAGATTGCTCTACCCAGCAAAGCTATCATTTAGAATTGAAGGTCAGATAAAGAGCTTCACAGATAAGAAAAGCTAAAGGAGGTCATCACCACCAGACCAGCACTACAGGAAAAGTTGAAGGGTCTTCTTTAAGAAGAAGCTAATGAACAAAAGAATCTGACAACTAAATAGATCCAGAGACATTGACGCATGCAACAGATGATCATATTTCAGAGGAAAGAGGGAAGGGCTTGGAGGGTGGGAAGGGATTAACCAAAGAAGTTATATGCATATATGCATAACCCATGGACACAGTTAATAATGGGGTGAGGCCCTGGGGAGGGGGTGGGAGAGAAGTGGAAGGTGTCAGTTTGGATGATAAAATGGGACACCTGTAATACTCTCAAGAATAAAGATAAATTTTAAAAATCAATAAAATTTTAAAATTTAAAAAATACAAAAATTAAAAAAATGGGCTGAGGACTTGAACAGGCATTTATTTTTTTTTTGAAGATACACAAATGACCAATAGATATATAAATAAATGTTCAGCAGTGAAATGGAAATCAAAACCACAATAATATATCACCTCACACCTGTCAGGATGGAAAAACTGAAAGATGAGGACATGGAGGACTTGGAAAACTGCACACTGTTGGTAGGAATGCAAAATGGTGCAGCCTCTATGGAAAACAGCGTGAAGTTTCTCCAAAAAATTAAAAATAGGACTACCATATGATCTAGCAACCTCACTTCCTAATATTTACCCAAAAGAATTGAAACCAGGGTCTCGAAGACACATCAGCCCTCTCATGCTCATTGCAGCTCTTTTCTGGTTACATTAGCCAAGAGGCTGAAACAACTAAATGCCCACGGACGGATGAAAGGGTAATGAATATGGGGTATATATGGACAACGGAGCACTACTCATCCTGAAAAAGAAAAAGGGAATTCTGCAATACGCAAAAGCATGGCTGAGCCTTAAGGACATCATGCTAACTGGAATAAGCCATCCTAGAAACACAAATACTGCATGATTCCACATATATGAAGTATCTAAAATAGTCAAATTCATAGAGTCAAGGAGTGGAATGGTGATTGCCAGGGGCTGGGGGGTGGACAGAGAAATGGGAGTTGCTAGTCAGCAGGCATAAAAAGTTTCAGTCAAGCAAGACCACTGCATTCTAGAGATCTGCTGTACAACACTGTACTGTAGTCAGCCCTAATGTATTGTACACTTAAATGTTTGTTAGGACATGTTGAGTGTTCTTAACCATAATAATAAAAAAAGAATAAAGTCTCAGAAAGAAAAAAAAAATCAAGCTCAAATTTCTAACTAAAAAGACCAAATCCCTTTCAGAGTCCAAAGTCAAGTCACATTCAAGAAAAAGTCTAAGACTTACCTCAAAACTCACAGCTCCATTGTGGTCTGTGTCGAACGCATTGAACAGAAAATGCGCATACGTTGTAGAGTCTGGAATGTTGAAAAGGAAATAGCATTAAGTCAGCGTTTCAATGTCCTGTGTGAGAATTGTACATCATGTCCAAGGCCAAGTCCAAGTCAGGAGAGTCTACTCCGTCTCCTTTAACTTGAGCTCTCTTCCCAGTTGCCCACCTGACCTTTCAGGAGAGGATTGTAATTTGAGGTTCACAGGAGTGAGATGCCTACAGAGGCCACTGATGACAGACATCTCTGTAAGTTCCTGGCTGGAAATGCGCTGCACACATGGGGGTCCTGGGTGATGTAAGTGACTCTGGGATGAGTGATAGTACCACAGGCGGGTGGGAGGGTAAAGTGAGACCCATCTGGAAACTGCTTAGTGCTTGACAGGGGCTATCTCTAGAAGTAAAAATAATAAAACTACTACTAACGAGACACAAATTGCTATTATTAGTGTCATTCATCAATTTTACAATTTAGATAAGCTATTGAGACTCAGAGAGGTTGAGAAACTCGCCCAGCGTGACACAGTCAATGAAGAAGAGTAGGGTGGGATGTAACTGGGGTCTTTTTGACTAAAAATCCAGGCGAGCCCATAGCCAGTAAAGTTGAGACAGCAGTGACTTGGGAAGTGTCTGTCCCCATGTTGGAAGGGGACTGTGTGGTCTTAAAAGTTTCTGGTTGTGAGCAGCCAGGAGCCCCTGCCCTGCCTGGGTCCTGGGTGGGATTCCAGGCTCTGAAAAACGGTAGAAGGTTTTGGAAAGCCCTCTGTCCCCAATGTCTTACGATGCTGCCTAATGACACTAAAGGACTCTGAAATCCACCCCTTCCTCTTAGTAGGTTTTTCCCCTCTAATTCCTCCTTCCTTCCTCTCCTGTTTCTCCCTAATCCCTAAGCTTTGTGCTTTTTCATTTTAAAAGTATATACTTTTTCTTACTGTTTTCTTTTCTTAGTGCACAGTTTTCATTTTTAAATGCTTCTGTGCTTAACTCTTGATCAAACCTACTTGATTGTTTTAAATGTTTCATCTCATGGGTTTTAGCCTTTTACCTTAACCTTTTTTATATTAACAAAACCTTGTAACCTTTGAGCTCATTGGCTCCAGCCTTTTATCATCTGTTGAAAATCCATTTCTGCTTTGTAACTTTTAAACTTTATTTTTATTGGGATTTTAACAAAACTTCTATTCGCCTTTTACTTTATGAATTGCTTCTCAAAGGTTGTCGAAAACCTAAGTCATAGTATCTGGAGCAGAGAATTGTCCTCCCCCAATAAGGGAGGTCAGAGGTCATGTAAACTTCCCCCCAGCTCTCAAGCACCCCTGGCTGCTTGTGGAGTATTTCTCCTGAATGCTTGACCCCAGTGGTTAACAATATTGAAGGCCACGAGGTAGATTGTACACTCTGTTTCTCAAAACGACGGTAGCATTTTCTTTCACCTCTTAGCTTTAAAAAAGATACGAGGAATTGCTTATTTTTAGACATGAATTATTAACACTGTTTTCAATGAACTCAACAGGTACTATCATTGGGCCTAAATAGTATGTGAAGCCATCACATCTAGAGTGGATGTTCATCAGGCATCGAAGGGCTGCAGGAAGAGGTCCTTGAGCATGGGACCAGGGGTTAATCTCAGCGAGCTCAGGGCATTGCGGGCAAGTTCCTTTACGGAGTCATCAAGACAGGCAGCCTGTTTCACTCGCAGAGTTGTTTTGCTCCCGCAGCACTCTTACACCAAGTTCTGGGACAATATAGTGCCCTGTGGAGATATGAGCTGATAACTTATTTTCAGGGAGAAAAAAGAGATTTTGCATATTTCATAATGAGCTTCATTAAACAGGTCTCTTGTTGCCTTATTTATACATTCAGAGTAAATGCGTTTACCTTAGCAAGCAGAATTCACCATGAGTAATGGCTCAGAACAAACAAATGGCTGAGAATTTTTAAAAATTTACCAGACGCAGGCATGAATGGTTACTGCCCTTCTCACATGGAGCTGCTCTAGCATTAAGTTTGTCGTGTGGGACACGCACGCTTTAGGTTTGCCCTGATGTGGCACAGAGGACTTCTTATTCCAATGCGCCTTGGCGATTCTCCTAGAGGGTCAGCCGGTTTTCCGGCCTAGGCATACTGCGCACAGAGCAGCTGTTAACAGTGTTGTGAAGTCAGACTGCCTGCGCTTGAATCTCAGCTCTACCAAACAGTAACTGTGTGACCTTGGGCAAATTGTTTCACCTCTCTGTGACTCAGTTTCCTGTAAAATGATAATAACAATATGGACTTCATACAATCACCATGCAAAGATTAAATGAGATACTATAGGCAAAGTTGCTTAGAACAGCCCTAGGCACATATTAAATGCTCAATAAATATTAGGTATTCGTCTTTAATAGGCAAGGCACTCTTATTTCAACTACCTTTAAGACATGTGATCAAATTTTTTACAGATGTAATATATTTTCATCTGAAAAGGTTCCTGTTTTTTGTTAACTCTCTTGTATGTTTAAGTGACTGATGTTCTAATTTGATACAAAGTCATGTTCAATAGACTAGCAGAATTGTGTCATGAAAGGCATTGAGGCTTCTGGTGGAGTTTGGACTTCTTCTGGCAGGCCTTTGGAGACTCTGAAAGCTTTTAGGGAAGGGGAGAGATGCTCCTTGCTTTCCCTGGGCCAAAGGAAGGAACCGAGATACTAGAAGTATATGGCTGGGCACAGAGGTGGACGTGTGAAGAAAAGGAAAACTGCCCACAAAAAGTATGATCTGGTTCCACCTGACTGTGTTCTTCTTAGATACTAGTAAGTATTTGCTAAAAGGATGAATAACTAGTATCCTAAATTCTAGATTTCAATACAGTTCAGAAATCAAAAGATATCTCTTCTCCCCATATGACCTGACTGTTCACATTTCCTTATGTATAACAGTTACTGAGTTTGATATACTGAGATTATCTTGGTTTCTGTATAATTTTACTTGTGAAATTAAAACTTTACAGTTGGGGGACAAAATGTATGGGTTCTTAGGATAGGAGGGCGTCTTGGATATCGCCTAGCTATTCATGTATGTTTAACAAAGATGAAAAGTAAGTACTTTTAGTGGCTCCGCTAAGGTCACCAAGTTAGTTAATGGTAGAGAGTAAATAATAACATCAAGGTATCTCATACCAACTCTTAGAAATGAAGGTTATTGGAGTAGAAAGAAAACTGAGGATACTTTGTTCCACATTTTATAGATGTTGTAAAAATGTTGTTCCCCATTTCACAGAGAAACAACTGCGGCCTAGAGAAATAAACCACTTGAGAAACATGCCTTGGTCATGGCATAGTCTAGCCCCAAACTCAGGACTCTCAACTTAGTTCAGTGTCCTGAACCCAGTTACTTCCAGACCACAGTGATGATACCAATTAGCCCCTTCATTAAAAAACTGTCAATAACACATCCATTTCAGAATATCTGATTATCATGTTTCACATCTGAGGACTGAGAGCAATCTGGTTGAGATTTTTCTTCTCAAGACAAAGCCCTACCTGAACTGAAGCATAATGTATGGAATTAGCTTAATGCATTTGGATATACAGATCATGGCACGGTTGCTATGATAAGTCAGGTTCATATACATGAATAGTAGTTTCTGTTAAACAAGCCCTTTATCAACCACCCTGAAATTTCTTACAAATATTGTCCTAGATAGTCAATGATGGAGTTATTTAAAAAATTACAACAAAATCTTTATGTCCATTAAACCCATCAGAGTGCCTCAGGTGCCTTAAACACAGTGGCTGCTCATGAAATGTTGGTTGACTTAGAATCTTTTGACGGTAGCTCATTCATTCATTCCTTAGTCAAAGTAAATGCAAAATTCTTACAACATAAGCAGGAGTAGCTCAGGAAACTGCAATTTTGATGCGCTTTAAAAATGCTTAGTGAGCTAAGAGTGTCCATATGCAAGCTCCACTGCATGTGAAGTTGTGAAAGTATTGCTGTAAGGATCCAGGTAAGGGCATAGTTTCATAGTAGGCCTACTTTATCCCTTACAAAGAAGAAGCTTCTGTCCAGTCCAGCTGTGCTGACACCCCGAACACCGAACAAGCTGTGCTCGGTAAGCCATCGCGCTAAGCGAGGAGGAAAGGAAGAGCCTGACACAATACAAATTGCAGGAGGTTCTGTAGATGAGATGAAGCATCTTCCTGGCGGAAATGGCGAGACACAGTGATTTATGGAGCCATCATTGTTACGGCTTATAATGAGATAAACCTGTTGCTTTCAGATCAGCAACCTAAGTAAACGGACCTATGGAAGAGTGAGGGTGGCCATAGCATGAGGAGATGCCCTTCCTCAGATCTTTTTTCCCTTTTGTAGGGCTGCTGCAGGATACAATTTGCATGCATGATAGCAATTTTTTAAATGGCAAGTCATTATTCTTGAAAGTATTTCATTTCCTTTATTTATGCCTGGTACTTTTAGATTTATGCATTTAATTAGCATGAATAATCAAAGAATTTTTAAGAGTGCAAAAGTAATTTTTCTTCAAATCCCTTTCGGTTTTATAACAAGAATCCTTTGCAAAGGATTGTGCTTAAGTAAATGTTCTTTAATGCCAAAACGTTATTTTTCAAATAAAGATAAATTTTTAATGTGGAACTGTATCCAATTTGTAGCATGTAATAACTTTCCTTTGAGATAATAAAAAATAAAGATTTCCATTTGTGCTAGGTGCTCTGATATTATTGCCTATCAACACCTTAGCAGACACTTAAGTATATGGTAAACATAATTTTTCTTAAAAAATTCCATGGTTTTTAATAATTTAAAATTATAAGAGTTAATCAAATACTCTTCCAATTTTTTTTATTAACTCAGACACTAGACCGATTACAATCCGGCATCAGGCTCTATGGCCAATCAATACCTGTGTGTGGGCCATTAGTAATGAGATGGGGTAGGAGAGTTGTCTCCCACAACATGTCTAAATTCACATAATAATGGGTCACACTGTGCTTTCTCAGAATTGAGTTCTAATTAACTTCTCTTAAAAGGCCATCTTAAATGAAAATTTCTATTTTGATAATCCATGTACAAAATCGTTTCAACCCATTGAAATATCTAATACCAACTATTGAAAACCAAAAGAGCCTAATTTTTATATGAAACAACTAATATTTAGGTGCTGTAAGCTTTCAAAATGTCTGTTATAGCAATGGCTCCATTGTATTGTTATAGCCACCATGCGAGGTGATATCATTCAGTCATCCACATATTCCGTCATTTAAGCGGTGGGTCTGCCACTGTTCCACAACCTGGGGATACAGCAGTGAACAAAACAGAAAAAAAACTCTGTTCCCTTGGAGATGGCATTCTAGTGGGGAAAGAGACAATCAGCAATGACAAAAGCAGGTTAAATTGTATGCATTATTAGATGCTCTTGAGTGCTAAAGTGGAGCATAAGGCAGGGAAGGGGTAAGGGAATGTTTCAGGGGTTAAGGCTTAAGGTAGGGTGACATTTGGTGAGGCACTGAGATGGACATTTGAGAGAAGAGAATTCCAGGCAGAAGGAACAGTAAGTTCAAAGGCCTAAAAGCAGCAACATGATGGCCATGTTGGAGGAATGGTAAGGAGGCCAGTGTGGCTGGAACTTAGTGAGTCGACAGGGAGAGTGGTGGACGTGGAGGCAGAGAGGGAGCAGGAGACCAGCAAGCACAACTTGTAGGTCCCTTCGTAGGTTGTGGCTTTTGCTCTGATGGGACGGAAAGTTGGAGCACGGCAGTGACATGATCTGGCAGGATCACTAGGCTTGTGTTGAGAACAGACCATGGTGGGTAAGCGGGGAGTACAGAATTAGAGATGAATTTGGGGACTGTTGGGTTATTTTGGCATGAGATGATGGTGGATCTTTTCAGTGGACAGCAGTAAAAAGATGTTGTGTCTTCATTCCCACAGTTATTAAAAAGGGAGAATCATTTCTAGGGTTGTTGGAAGGTGAGGGGTAATGCATGCCAGGGGTCGACACATGTCAGGTGCCAGATTAATAGTGGCTAAGACAGCTCATGTTCAATTTGTCTGGAGAGGCTCATTTTCATTTCCTCCCTTCCCTTCTGCTACTCTAATCGCCTGACCTGGTTCTCCCATAATGGTACTTCTTTAAACCTATATTCTCTGACTTATACTTTATGTTGACATTGCCCATCTGCTATACTAGAATAGAATGCCTTTTGGGGCAGGTTCCACGTCTCATTCCTTTTACATTACCAGCAGCTAGCACATAGCTGGGCACCCAGTAGGCTGTGCGACAAATCTGAGCTGGGCATGCCGATGGGTGATTGACGGACAAACAAAAAGGTCCAGTGGCCAACATATCTCTTTACTCATCTCTACCATGTATGTATTATCCTTCTGCTCTCCTGTTTTCTTTCCAAATAAAATAATATCTAGGGTGGTATTGATTTTTCTCAGGTGGGGGTGTCATAGTAAAGTGTCACTGAAAAACAGAGAAACAGTAGAAAGAACCCTAGGTGAGGCTCCAAAGAAATCTAGGTTCTAACCCAGATCTGCCACTAAATGGACATGTGGCCCTGAGCAAGCCATTTAATTTCTCTAAGCCCCAGATTTCACATTTGCAAATTGAGGATAATTACGTTTGTCCTAATTCTGAGAGTTGGGAGAATCAGATAACACCTCTAATGCGTGTGAAAGCTCGGAGGCACAGGACAAGGCTGTCATAGTCAGAAGGTGCTTTGTACTTGAGAACAACGGTACTAGGCACCAATAATACCGCTTGGTGTGTTACACCGAAGAGCAAGCTCGTGGACGGTTGATAATTTGTAAGTCGTTTACTTTTATGATATATTGAAACTCAGATGCCCTTGAGTGCGGTATATTAATTCTCTGACATAATGATTAAACATGTAGAGTCATGCCGTGAAAGATGAAACCAAACTGGAAATGGCAAGCGTAAGTAGTTCAGCAAGGGGTGAACATACAAGGTCAACACTCAAAGAGAGTGACCTCACCAAGGTCACACAGGTCAGTGGCAACTTCACCTCCCCTCACAGGAAGAACAATGAACAATTACTCAAGAACAAAAACCAATGAGAAAATTCTAGAACTTTCGTCTACACTAGAAAAAGTGTATGTGAAGGTTACCACACTGCCCCTCCCCCAGCCCCTTGCAGCACCAAATGGGAAATGAAAGAAAAAAGATTGCAAGCATAATTCTAACTGAGAGCACTGTAACAAGTCCTCATTGGTACTTACCTCCCTGTGGAAAGAACTGGGAGTAAATCTCTTTGAAGGTTTCTTCGTTAACAACACCGCTGGGGCATTCCTGGAGAAAGCAGTAGAGAAACAGTATGAACCAAGTGCTCATAAAACTAACTTTTTGCACATTTTTAAAACAGAACTGTCTACCATGCAAAGCTGCACCAAGAAAGTTAAGCATCCAGCCATTATTACAAAGATAATAAAGTTTTCTTTGTCCCAGTTTTCACAGAAAGAAAAAACACACCTGCATATGTAAAAATATATGCATATAAAAACACACTTCTGCTTGTAAGAACACATATGTTTATTATCGAAGATGCAAGAGGAAATTACATTGTTTTTCATAAAGCAAGGATATTGCAAGATGCTTATGATACGGCCTTGCTAGGTCTTGGTGCTGTGTCCTCTGGAGATTTGTTGACCCACAAATCTTAGATTCAATGAGAAAATGGGTGTTCCATTTGGGTCAAAGGTGGCCTGGCCCAAGAAGTTTCAACCAGAAATAACTACTAATTTCTGTTAACAGTTTGTAACAAGTGACCTTGAATGAGACAGGACCCCACTCAGTTTTAAATTCTTGGAGGGGAGGTTCTGAAAAGAAATAGGCCTGAAGGTAATAAATTCCCACCTTTGTCCCATGGGTGGAATTATTTAAGACTCATAGATATTGACCTTGGGAACTCCACTAATGTTGGACTGTTGACCTAGTGGGAACATAGGGCAAGGCTACCCCTCCCAGCATGCACTGGGCATTTTCTGTAAAAGGAACTGAAATAGTCAGTGTTAGAAGGAATTTGCCTTGGTGCAGAAAATAGAGACTAAACAAGTGGATCTTAGACTGAGGTGAGGGCCAGACTTCCTCCACTCTTTGCAGTTACAAGAACAGTCTGGCCAGGAATCTGAGAAGTGGAGACTCCTGGGGCAGCAGAGACTGACAGTCGCAGACAATCCAACATCAGATCACTGTGGGATGCTAACTGCGCATTGAAGGTGAGGAAGTGATGAGCTCTGTCTAGTCCTTTTGATTAGCTTCTCATAAGCAGTCCCATTTTACCTGGGCTCCTTTGGGTCAGTTGTGATGGTACCCCTCCCCCCCCAAGCTGCCTGGCATTTCCCCAGGATTCAATGGAAAAGAATGGTGTGTGTGTGTGTGTGTTAATATCCTTGACTTTAGGGATGAATATTTTGTGTACTTTAAATTTGACACTGTTCCTGGGATCTTCAATAATCATCTGTTGTGGTCTTTAAAGCTTCTCTTAACCCTTAAAATCATTGTCCATTCACAAATAAAGTTGATTTATTAATTTGACATTTCTTTATTCCAATAAGCCAGTTACTTGCAACCGTAGTGTTTCACATGAGAACTTTTCTATTTTCTCATTCATTCGTTTGAAACGTAGGACCTCTGATACATAAACACAATTTTAATAATAATTTCAATATAAACTTGTATTTAGAAAGCTTGTCAGTGTATATTTCTCCCACTTAACTGTTGTAATAAATCTATCACTTGGGTATCACCATTCACACAGGCAGAACAGCAGGTTCTGTAGTAAAGACCGTTATTCAGCTACTGGGAGAGCTGGAATGTGAGTTTGGGACTTTCCAGGTCACCACAAGTTTTGGATTAGATGATCCCTGTGCAAATAATGACCCCAACAGCCCCCCCCCCAAAAAAAAAGAAAAAGAAAAAGAAAAAAAAAGATAAGTAAAAACAAATGAGCAAAAAAGCAAGCAAGTAAACTGTGAAGGTTAATTTTATGTGTCAACTTGTCTGGGCCATGATGTCCAAATGTTTGATCAAACATTATACTGGATGTTTCTGTGAGGTTGTTTTTGGGTGATATTTCCGCTTAAATGTGTGGACTTTGAGTAAAACAGATTGCCTTCCATAGTGTGGGTGGGCCTAATATTGTCAATTGAAGATTTGAATGGAAGAAAAGGTTACCTTTACTAAGCAAGCAGGAATTTTCCAGAAGAGAGCCTTAGATATGATGTGCAACATCATTTCTTCTTGGTTGTACAGCAGACTGCCTTTGAACTTTGAACTGCAACTCCTTCTTAAGCCTCTAGCCTGTCTGTCTCCCCCATCAGATTTTGGACTAAGTCTCCACAACTGTGTGAGCCAATTACTTAAAATCTCTCTCTGTATATACATATGTCTATAGGTTCTTTTTTTCTGGAGAATCCTGAGTAATACAGAAAAGAATCAACAGATAACTCTAGAAAGAAAAGAAGACGGCATGCATATAGCTAATAACTCCAAAGTTTTGACTAAGTGGTTCTATCTAGTTGGCAGCAACAGAACCAGTTTTAAAAGCAAATAAATACTTTGTAGTTAGACCCTCTCACACATGGAAATTGTGATTTATGAGCGATTTAACTTGGCACCATCTGTTTGGGATAGTAAGAAGAGAGCAGATGAATGGCTCTCTGACATCAGGTGGTGAATTTGTTCAAGGTCAGAGTTAGAAACCTGCCTCGGAATTAAAGTGATGCTAGCAAGAAATGAAGAAGATGGGAAGTGAAGACTCTGTGCTCAGAGAATCTGTCAGTTGCCTTTGGTCTTTAAGAGCATTTGATAAATATATCTTATAATGTGAAATAAAATTTAGAAATTGGCTGCTTATATGTATTGGTTTTGTGTTTTATCATGTCTGTATCAGACAAAAATCCTTTCTCTGCCAACTGAAAATTTTAGGGTGGAAAGTCTCACCAGGTGAATTTTTCTTTTTCCAACTCACATTCATTACGTTAAATTACATCTTCAACCAATATATACTGTGTACTTATTATTATAGGGATTTTTCTAGGAACTGGGGCATCAGCAATAAACAAGTCAAAAGTCTTGCCTTCATGGAGCCTGTATCCAAATAGAAGAAGAAAGGTAAAAAACAAGACAAAAGATGATAACAATCCCAAGAGTGTAATCTGAGTTCTTATAGCAAGCCCATGCATTATAGTACCTTCACATGAGAAAAATTAACCAAATTATGTAGGACTCTAGTGATTTTAAAAATGGTATAAATGGACTATGTTTAAACTATTTCCCCACCTCTTTCAAGGAATGGTTTATCCACAAAAGTGGTATCTACACCTCTTCATCAAGAATGAATTTGGCCAGGCCATGTGTACAGCTAAGTGTACACGATAGACAACGTGGCTGTGTTAGGTAGGTTATCTCTTGCCGTTGTAACAAACAGGCCCCTCAGTATGTAACAAATTAAAAAAGAATATAGTCTATTTCTTGCTCACCTAACAGAGTTGGGCGAGTGTACAGACTAGCTGATGGTCCTTCCTCTCAGAGTCATTAAGGGAGAGAGGCTAATGAAAGCCTGGCTGTCTTCAACATGTGCCTTCTAAAGTCTCTGTGACTGTCTCATCCAGAAAGAGAAAAAGGGCATTGAGATGTGTGCATGGGAGATGTTTATGGGCCAGGTTGTGAAGTGGTGCCCATCATTTTCACTCTCATTTTGTTAGTTAGAAATCACTGAATATGCTCCCCCCCCCCAAACAAAGAAAGAAGTCTCATGTGCCCAGGAAGAAGATAAGAACACAGATTTGGTGAACTGTTCTCAATGTCTGTCTCGGAGGCTTATTTGAAATATACTCTGTGTTCTGAAATCATCCTCCCACTGATGCATCAGTATCACCATCATCAAATCGTTTAGCAGGATGAAGTCTTCTCCCCTAGTGTCATTCTACAGTTATGATATTTTCCAGCCAACACGTCCCATAAGGCTTCAGCATCTCAGGGTGCAGCTTTTCATCAGGGATTCTTCAGTTTTAGAAGAAGGATCCAAGAAGCAGTTGAGCTCCCAAGTTTAGGGAAAGTGAGGAAATCTCAGTCATCTACACTTAGACAAGAGACAATAACCTTCTACAAGCCCTTATGACTTTTATATTCTATGTTCTAATGAAATTTTGTCTGATTATTAACTAATTACTGTTCTGTGAATATATGTTGTCTATGGAAAAAAAATTAAGTAAATAAAATTTGCCCATAATTGTACTACTGCAGGAACATTTAGGTCATGTATCTAATGATATATTAACATACTCTACAAATAAAATGGAGATAATACAAGAACATGGAACTGTATCTTATTATTTTTTAAGTTTTAGAAAATATCCTGAACATTTTCCGTGTCATGATTTTTAATGGCTGCATAATACTGCATCCATTGAATTTACCATATTGTTGGATATTAAGGAGAGTTCAGCATTTTTACTACATAGGAATAATGATGTAATTAATGTTCTAGAGCGTACATCTTTGACTGCACCTGTGGTTCATTGTTTACAACTCATCCCGGTAGACGAATCACAAGACCAAAGGGTTTGAGCTCCTTCTATGCACCATGACGATGCTTCCTAGGAAGGCTGCACCAATATGTACCCACCTCCACTGGTTTATGAGAAAGTTTTACAGCTGGAGGGGCTGCTGACCAGGATCACATGGGGATTTCACATGCACCAGATCCCATGAGTAAACAGCAATAATTTGCTTCCCTCATGAATCTAATTGTCATTCTGAAAATTGCCAGAGGATGTCAAGGATCTGTACAGATCTCTCCGAGAGAGAGAGATGTGCCTGTTTTCACGAATACAAGGATGCTCTGAGAGCAAACTGTAGGGCCATGTTATCACATAACAACTGTTTACTGAGCCCAGATTCCATGCCTTCTTACAGACATCACCTCTTTGGTTGTTTTCTATTGACTTCAAAAGGTAGGAATTATTTAGAGATGAAAAAGAGAAGCTCAGAGAGATTAAAATGAAGTAAAATATTGAATGACAGCTTTTTTCAAAGCTATCCATCTATTTATTCTTTCAACAAATAGTTATTCAATGACTTCTATGTATCAAGCACTGTTCTGCTCATTGGGGATATAGGAGTGAGTTTTAAAAATTCCATGTTTGCTCTTATGAAATTAAAGTTCAGCGAAATAAAACTCACAAATGCCTAACTCCATTGATTGCAATGTTATCCTATGTCTGGATTATCTGTTTTTCCATTAAAACTGAAAAGGTGGCCTCCTGGTAAACGATCTGTGGAAATGC